TTAAAATATTATATTAGTAACATTAGTTAAATAATGTTTTAATACTTATATATTAAATTTAATACATGTAATTAATACTATATAATGAAAATATTATTTTAATTAAATATTTATATAAAAAAATATTACATTAATTACATAGATTTAATAATATCAATTTTATTTTACTTATATAAATATATTATTTTTATTTTGACATATAACTTTAAAAATATTTAGTAAAGATAATAATGAAATTCTTTTTGTAAGATATATAATTAATTTTAGCAAAATTTATAAGTTTTAAAAATAATAATTTAATATATAAACAAAAAGATAAATTATTAAAGTGTAACATATTTGAATTTGTTAAGAGAGGGTGGTATAATATTTTGTCTATGAAAAAATATTAGTATAAAGAGTATTTTGCTAATAATTTTTTTATCGTAACGGTAGTTGACGAAACTTTAACAAAATTTTTTAAAAAATAAATAAAATATCATATTTGAAATTTGTCAAAAAAAAATTCTATAAATTCTATAAACTTTAACATAATAGAAAAAGACAGTGTAATATTCAAACCTCTTAGAAAAGTATAATTTACTCTTAATAATAATTAATTATCAAATAAAATTAATCACCATTAGATATTTCGATAACTTTGTAATATTATTAACATTTTAATAACCTCAACACTATTAATCACTTATCAATAATTGTATAGAATCCCTTTAACTAATTTTGAGATAAAGTTAATCATATGTGTCAATCAATATTCTCATCACACTATTAACCATTTGAGGACAAAGTTAATTACTTAATCAGCCACATCAATAACTGTATCCAATCTTTATTTACTTTTAATCACTTAAGAAATAAAATTAATCATATTTATATAATTAGTTAACTATTCATGCTGAGTAGATGTGGGGTGTTTAAATATGATGTGCATTACTCTTATTTATTTATTTATTTATTTATTATTATTATTATCATATAATTATAGTTCGTTTTGAGCTATTGTCTATGTAGGTCCTACCGAACTGTCACCACATGCCAAAAATAGTGGCGTTGAAGATATAATATTTCACCTTATTTCCCTAGTAATTTTGGTTAATCATTTCTACATTTTCAAATGTTTTTGATGACGAAATCCAATTACCCTTGTTTCATTATGTTGTTTTGTTGCTTATCTTTTCACAAGCTGCAAACACACTTTTTTGGGGGAAAATATTACTTTTTTATGCGAACAGTGTGCTCAACCTTCGAATATATAGTTCGATATTGTTCTTTTGGGTGAAAAATTGGTATCAATTTAATTTAGACTCTCCTTACTAGGAATTATTATTTAATTATGACTGTATTCATAACATTTTGAATAAACATTCACATCAATGCTTCATGATGAGTCCAACATTTTAGTCCTAGATATCTTGAAAATTATGGTTAGTTTTTTTTTTTTTTTTCCTATAACTTCATTCAATATAAAATTATACTAACTTTCACCCTTTAATGACCCACCAAGAATTAAAAAAAAATAAATAAATAAACACGTGATTTGCATAACTTTACATTAAAAGTAAATAAATAAAAATTATATTTTAAACTAAAAATTGTTAACTCAAGTAGTTTGATTTTTTAACTAAAAACTAGAGTTCGATCCCCGGTATAAACATAAAATCTTAAATAAAAATGCTACTTTATTCATATAGAAATTGACCTAGTTAAATTGTTGAGTTTTTCACTAGTGAAAAGATTAAATTAGTTTAGTACACGCATACACACGAGTTAATATTGACTATATACTTGCAATACAACACAAGCATGGTTAATATTATTTTCCGTAAAAGTAAAATTCACAATTCATTATGGCTGTAAGGTGGAGATTAATTCTCGTGAAATGAAAAACATGTTCTCATTAGGCTGAGAGAAAAAATCTGCAGTTGCATGTGAACAAGAACATAAAATTTGCAACAAAAACTGAAAGACAAGCTTAAACCTGTGTATGTGTGTAGTCATAACATAGGACTACTTAATCAGATCTCCAAAGAGGTTCACACAAACCAACTAGAGTGAAATGAAGAGATAGATAAGAAAGTAGCATAACTAACAGTATCAGCATCAAGATGGATACATTCCATGAGACACCACATTCTTCAAACGCATGAAGCCAAAGTTGAGTCTTCCACAAGTAGTAGAATATGAAATCAAGAAGAGTATGAAGAGGATGGGAGACAACATGAGGAGAAACTGAAAGTAAATGGCTGTGTAATTTGAGAGCCACAACAAGCTAAAGACAATGCTGAATATCACAACCAAATGAAAATTTGGGGAATGAGAAACTGTGGCCATGTTCTGCCCTGTGTATCCCTCCACATTCCTCTTTCTGGGATAGAACCACCCCATTTTTCCTCTCTTATTTCTTTCTCACTCAGTGAAACCTGCAGAACTAGACTGTATCATAAGCACACTAGTAGTAGATTGTCCACTAAGGTTTATATAAGAGTTGATGAGCTTCTGTTGCTTCATATGTTAGGTTGGATTTGGCATATATTCTTTGAGTGTCACTTTTATCTCTCTTTTTTTGATCTGTATCCTTTGCAAGTTTTGCCTGCCAGACTATTTTCTTCATGGACAAGGGTGAGAACAGTGGATAATCATTAGTACATTTCTACACACCTAAAGGCTAAAAAAGGGGGCCTCCTATCAAAGTGAATCTTAAACTTACTTACTCCTATCACCCTGGAGTTTCAGAAAGAAAAATGAACTTGAAGATGAAACATACTTTTCCATTTGGCTTTTTCAACAAGATTAGACAACCAAGAGAGTCTCAACGATTATTGGTAAAGCAGATTTTTTCAGCATATATTAATTAATAATCCAACCATATAAGTACAATGTGTATCAAAAAAAGAAATATATATATATATATATATATATATATATAT